TATCTACAGTCAATTTTATTTTTAAAAAATATATTTTTATTGATTTCAGAGAGGAAGGGAGAGGAAGAGATAGAAACATCAATGATGAGAATCATTGATTGGCTACCTCCTGAATACCCACAACCTGGGCATGTGCTTTGACTGGGAATCGAACCATGATCTCCTCCTGGTTCAAAGGTTGACACTCAACCACTGAGCCACGCCGGCAGGGCCTCTGCAGTCAATATTAAATGGCAGTTCACTTTCTTACAATTCAAATATATAGAATTTTTAATAAGGTCCTCCTATTTGGAGGAATGTGGATATTTGTATCTGACATAGATAAGTTGCACCCCAACTTCTTAAATTACCTTTATTTATGTATATTTAAGATCTTACATCAATATAAGCTATGCACCATTTTGCTTCATATATATCTATTAATAATAATAATCATAACTAACATTTGAGTAAGACATTATGTGACAGGCACTATTCTAAGTAGTTTACACAATTTACTTATTTTTTTCTTCATAACAACCCAGTGAGGCTGAGCCTATTATTATTTTACTAGTAGCCCGGTGCACAAAAAGTTGTGCACTCGGGGGTGAGGGTGAGGGGTGGGGCCAGACCTCTCAGCCCGACCTGCACCCTATGTCATGTTCCGGGACCCGGGCCACTCCTGGCCGAGGCACAGGCCTATAGGCTTGGGCAGCCTGGCTCCCGAGGCCCCATTTTATCAAGAGAACAAAGTCGGCGTTAGTTACAGCCCTCACCGAACCCAGTACAGTGCATCTGTGCATACAACTGCCTTGTTCATGTGCCTGCTTCGCCCTACTGAATTACTGACATCTTGAGGACATAGCTCTGTCTTATCCTGCTTCACCTTCAGTGCCTGGCCTGGTGCCAGGGACCTGAGAGGGTTTGCTGAGTGAGTGAATAATGAGTGAGTGAATGAGTGAATGAATGAGCTAGTAAGTGAATGAGCAAGCAGCTACAGGGTGGGAACTTCTGCCGCGTTGCCATGGCAATACGGCAGAAGTTCCGGCCCCACTCCTGGCTGCCTGAAGTCCACCCCGGGAAAGTTCCCTCCCTGCTCCCAGCAGCCTGGTGCCCCTCTCCTGGCTGCATACTGAATTACTAACATCTTGAGGACATAGCTCTGTCTTATCCTTCTTCACCTTCAGTGCCTGGCCTGGTGCCAGGGACCTGAGAGGGTTTGCTGAGTGAGGGAATGAGTGAATGAATGAGCGAGTGAATGAGTGAATGAATGAATGAGTAAGTAAGTGAATGAGCAAGCAGCTACCGGTCGGGATAGTTCACACTCCGCTCTGGGCTGCCTGACACAAACCCTGGGAAGTTCCCGTCCTGCTCTCAGTGGACTCTCACCCCTCTCCTGGCTGCATAGTTTGCACTCTGCTCTCGGCTGCCTGATGCAAACCCCGGGCAGTTCCCGCCCTGTTCCCAGCGGCCCCACTCCCCTCTCCCACCTGCATAGTTTGCGCAGGGCAAAGGCGGCCCGGGTGTGCGTGTTGGCAGATCGGTGCATTAGCAACTGCCAGCCTTGGTTCCCCGCGGGAGGGCCGTTTGTGGGCATGGCCGGTGGCCAGCTCTGGGTCGGGTCCTATGTGGGCCGCCTGCCGCCCAGGTTGCAGATAGCAGGCCCGGATGGCAGCGGGGCAGGCGGGATGGCGCTGTCCCGCCCTGCCTGCAGTATGCAAATTAGCCAACATCTTTGTTGGCAGTTAACCGCCATCTTGGTTGGCAGTTAATTTGCATATCGTCCTGATTAGCCAATGGGAAGCATATCGGAGGTATGGTTAATTACCCTATTTGTCTTTTATTAGATAGGATAGTTGAGGAAACAGGTACAAGAGAGGATAATGAATGTGCTCAAGGTCACAAAAGTAGTGAGTGCATTCAAACCTAGGAAGTTCAGGATACCAACCACCACTACTAATACAGACATAGACAGAGATACAAATGTAGATGCACTTGTCATCTATTCCTTATGTGCCTGTTTCCTTTACTTTGTGCTCCTTAAGGTCAAGGACCCTGCAACTTGTCAATAAATATTTTGTGAACAAATGAAGGAAAGATAATTTTGCTATTCCCTACAGATTTTTTTATTATTTTCATTTTATTTTACAAGTAACACTTTTGGCTGTTATTTCAAGTCTATTCCAGTATTATTTGGGTGGTTTGTTATGACATGTTATGACACTTTAAACCTTTACATTTAAGACGTCACTCTTTTGCTGAGACAAAAATGAGCTCTTCCTCTCCTCCTGCCTAAAATAATAGCAGATTAAGTGTTTACAGGAGGCGAGTGTGTAACCCAGGATTTCTGCAGCAGCGGGTTTCAAATATTCTAGTCAAATCCTGCCTTTTGTCCGATTCTTGCTGACGAGTGTTACCATCAAGATTTACTTTGGTATCCATTAGTCACCAAGTACTTATTTTGAGAATGGTTGCTATCATCACTTATTCCCTACAAAGGTGCCACCTAGTTACTTTTGTTTTGGCAATTATGGGTTAAATACATTCCTGGGGTTAGTCCTGCTGAAGTTTGCATTAATTTCAAATTAATGCTTGGTAGGTTATTTCTCATAAGAGGAAAGCTTTCATTGAACAGGAATCTTTCAAAGCTCTTGCTTTTACCCTTCTTTTCCATCGATGAGAGCCTTCTTTCACTGTGTAGCTATACTTTTCTACCCCTGCCCTACAAAGCTGTATTATATTGTGGTTCATAATGACTAGTGATTGAAAGGAACTTATGTTTTCTCTTTATAATATTGTTCTCTTTTGAGATACCCACTTGACTGTTCTTCTTCACTGCTTTGCTATCATCTTTTACTTGCTACCCATCCATGGAATTAATGTCAATCTAAACAATTGTTCTAGTAAAGAGTTTTAAGATGATAAATATCTCATATAAGGCTCCTGTGTTTTTTTTGCTGTGGTTTCTTTAAATTCCAGTAATTCCATTACAGAGGACTCTGTAAGGGATTAATTAAATTTGATATCAATTAGTTGATAGGAGAAAACATGTTTTTTAAGCTCCTTATTTTATATATCTATATTACCTTGCATGTCTTCATTCTAGGACTTTTCCGCTTTGTGTCTAGTATTCATCAACCATAGGGTATTTAAAATGCCTTTCTCTATTAATAAAGAGGGATATCATGAGCAAAAACAGTATGTATTGTAGCAACTGTATGTCAGGGACTGGTCAATAATAAGGCCTGATTGAAATGGATGAAAAAATGGGAAATGAGGAATAAAGATAGAGACTTTGGATACTTCTTTCAAGAGACATGATCATAAAGAAAAAGCAGAGAAATGAGGGATGGTTGGAAACTTTAAATTATAGATGGGCATATTTTTTAAAAATATATTTTTATTGATATCAGAGAGGAAGGGAGAGGGAGAGAGAGATAGAAACATCAGTGGTGAGAGAGAATCATCGATTGGCCAGGCTACAGGTACACATTTTAGATTGGTAATGGAGAGATGAGGTAGGACTCATCTGATAACTTCTATCTTCTCAATGAAGTATGAGCAAAGTGAAGTGTTTAGATTGGGGGGAAATGGTATTAAAGGTTTAAGGAAAGAAGAGAAGCTATAAAATAATAATTTAGAAGGGTGGAGACAGAATTTGTTAGAAATATCTGTTTTCCACATTGGTTCACTAGGGGAACATGTACAAACCTGAACTCCTACTTCACTTCAGTTTCATCATTTATAAAGTGAGAAGAATATTATCTACTTGCAGGACTGTAGTTAAGAATTAGAGATTATATATATATATATATATATATATATATATATATATATATATATATATATATAAAATTACTAGCCCATAATTGGAGATTATTATTAATATACTAAATGTTATTCTTTTGTCCCAAGAATAAAAAAGCCTTGCTTCTACACTGTCTTTTTAATAGAGAAGGTTAACCTCTGAAATTTTATGTCTAACAAATATTTCTTTTTTTCTTTCTTACAACTTTAATGCTCTACAAAGTTTCTAAGTTTCTTGTGCATTACTTTGGTTGGAATATATCTTTCTGAATGATATTTCTAAAATTTTAGGTTATATAATGTTTTTAGGACCTTGATGTTGTGATCCCTGAGAAAGAATAGACTTCAAATAGAATATTTATTTCCTTATGAGACTTTATTCTTATTACATAGACAAAATGATAATTAATGATATATTTTTTATTTTTTTCGCATATCTTTATTGATTTCAGAGAGGAAGGGAGAGGAAGAGAGAGACAGAAACATCAATGATGAGAGAGGATCATTGATCAGCTGCCTTCTCCACGCCCCATGCTGGGGATCGAGCCCACAACCCAGGCATGTGCCCTTGACCAGAATCAAACCCGGGACCCTTTAGTCCGAGGGCAATGCTTTATCCACTCAAGCCAAACCGGCTAGGGATTAATGATATATTTTTTAAAGTCCAAATAATAACCTTGCAGAAAATAAAAGAAGTAAAAAAGTTAATACATAACTTGAAAGGGATTTTTTAAAAATATATTTTATTGATTTTTTACAGAGAGGAAGGGAGAGAGATAGAGAGTTAGAAACATCGATGAGAGAAACATCAATCAGCTGCCTCCTGCACACCCCCCACTGGGGATGTGCCCACAACCAAGGTACATGCCCTTGACCGGAATCGAACCTGGGACCCTTCAGTCCTCAGGCTGACGCTCTATCCACCGAGCCAAACCGGCTAGGGCTTGAAAGGGATTTTTGAAAACAATATTATCCATTTTCTCTTTGTCTACTAACATGTTTCTGAAGACTACAGTATTTTGTAATAAAGCATTATATCAATTTTAGTAACTAATACTAAGAAATGCTATTCATACAACCTTAGTGTCAACCTGATTTTATTTCCACATTAGACTAGCTATGTCCATACTTGGTATTCTCTAAAAGAATATGGAAACTACCAAATCAATGTTCAATATGTAAAAGAGAAATATGAAATATTGACATAGGGAATCTTATTCAATATCTTCTTCCATGTTTTTCTGCTCTAGGGCATGTATCTCTCTTTCAGGTAGTAACCCATATTCGTTTAGGAAAGACTCCACATCCCCAGCAAAAAATTCTTCAGCAAACTGTTCAGCAACACTAATAAAATTGCTTATGAGTTCCCCACCCTTGTAGACGAGCAGTGTGGGGAGTACATCAGAGGAAAAGCGGTCCTGGGCCCCTGTATGAGAAGCTTTTATTTTACAAAACTTGACCATAGGGTATTCGGCTGCAAGGCATGTTAGGCTACTGTTTAGAGCATCACAGCCTTTAATGCCCTCTTCATAAATGTGAACAACGATGGTGGTGATTTTCTTCTCCTTTTCAATGGTCTCCAGGAATTGCTCCCCAGTTTCCAGCTCGTACATAAGCCCGTATCTAGGCCCAAAACTCAGCTTCCGGTGCATATCCTGCATACACTGTCTACGGTATTTACGAAGGCAAGTTTCATCTTCTTTGTCTTGGTGGATTAGTTCATATTCTTGAATGCTCATCTGGGAATACATAAAAAGAATTATAGAAACCATTCAGCCAGAAATTCAACTTAAAAAAAATATTTTATTGATTTTTTTACAGAGAGGAAGGGAGAGGGATAGAGAGTTAGAAACATCAATTATACAGAAACATCGATCAGCTGCTTCCTGCACACCCCCTACTGGGGATGTGCCCGCAACCAAGGTACATGCCCTTGACTGGAATCGAACCCGGGACCCTCTAGTCCGCAGGCTGATGCTCTATCCACTGAGCCAAACCAGTCAGGGCGAAATTCAATTCTTTAGACACACCAAACCCATCCTCACTCAGAGAGTTTGCATTTGCTATCCCCCTACAGCCCCAATGTGACCTTCTCCTTTACCTTATTCAAGCTTTTGTTCAAATGTCACCTTCTTTGATTATACCTAAAAGAATCCCTGCCCCAAGCTTTCTATTCCATATATGGGTTTAGTTTTCCTTCATAGCAATAAACACTATGTGATATTGAATTAAATATTTATTTGTTGAAGTGTTTAATATTAATAATTGTTTTTCTAACTGATACATTCTGTGAAGGCAGGAATTTTATTTGTCTCACTCACTATTCAATATCTGCTATAATGTCTGACACAAAGTAGGGGCTCAGTAATTATTTCATGACGTAAATGCACACATAAATATTGCTGAGTATAGCTGAGCCATGAGATGATCACAGTCTCAGTCAGAAATGTGCCATTTAACTGCCCATCACTTCAGGTGAGAACAAAAACTCACAAACAAACCAGCAAGGTCTACTCTGGAGTGACTTTCATAAAGCGTGCACGACACACACACACACACACACACACACACACATACACTTAAATGTGTCCTCAACAAATGCCTTTGGACATTGGTGTCTCCTCCATGAAAGTTATTAAAAAGGTTATATCTTATCACTTACTGATTTTTTTTGGATATGTAGACTAAGATCCAAGACAGCTTTACTACTATTTAGAGTTCATCAGATTAGCCAGGAGGTTCCTGCTATACCAGCATCAGCATCCCCTGAGAAGTGCTGGGAAATGCAAATTTTTGGGCACCACCCCAGATCTATCAAATCAGAACCTGTAAGGGTGAGACTGGGTGAGCCCTATTGAAACAAGCCCTCTAGGCAATTCTTATCCACTGGTTTAGGCTAAAGCAAGAAATGGCCTTTCATCTTCCAATGCAGCTACTTATCACTACAGATGGAATATAAAATTATTTGCAGAACCTTTCTTAAGAGCTACACTATTATCAACTTATTCAACAGAATGTTAAAAACACATTCCCTACAACCACCCTTAAAAAAAAAGAAAAGAAGGCGGAAGTAGAAGAAGAAAGGGTACAAAGGAGCAATAAAGGGTCTAAAGAGCTGTGGAGCATCCAAGAACCATGGAAGGTGGACAGTTCCCAAGGGGATCAATCAGCCTTCTCACCAGTAGCCTCTCAAACAGCAACTGCTGACAGTATTTCAAGTAGACAATTGAGAAGGCAAGAAAGTGGGATTTAAGAAAAATCTATATCTAAGGCAATTTGCATAGATTATTTTACTTAATCCTCACAACAAACCTATGAGGTAGCTGTTAATACATACTTTTACAGAAGATACTGAAGTTCAGGTTAAATGGTTGACACTCAACCACTGAGCCATGCTGGCAGGGCTAATTTGTTTTAAACCTAAAAATTGTTAAATGTATAATTTTTAAGTTGCTACTATAATTATGTTAATTTAAACAAACTAAACCACACAAATACTGACTTAAACATTTGAGCATTTTTATGAGAACTTGTTCCATTCACATATTCAAGCATATAGATATTTAATGATTAGACACATTGCTAAAGCTTAACCTTAGTACAGCTTTAACAATAATATCTCATGTTTGTGTAAGCATTATACATATTTCAAAAACACTTTTACACTTACTTTCTCTTCACATCCCTGTAAAGCAAGTGGAGAAGATGTTACAGTTCCTAAGATGGGAAAATTTAGTTGTCTCTCCCACATTACATAATGACTCAGTGAAGGAACCAAAACCAACATCTTAGACTTTCACAGTGGCCAGAAGCCTGGAAGCAAATATATTCCTGAAGCACTGTCTGTTAAGAATCAATATACAACAACTCAAATATACTAGTTTGAAGAGAATCCACTGAAGTGATTTTTCCCACAGTGAAAATCACTTTATTGTTTTTAAAATTAATATTGTTGTTGCCTGGCAGGTGTGGCTCAGTAGTTGAGCATCAACCTGTGAACCAGGAGCTCACGGTTTGATTCCTGGTCGGGTACATGCCTGGGTTGTAGGCTCGATCCCCATTTGGGGCATGCAGGAGGCAACCCATCAATGATTCTCTCTCATCATTGATGTTTCTGTCTCACTCTCCCTCCCCTTTCCTCTCTAAAAAAACAATAAAAATAAATTGAAAATATTGTTGTTATATAAATTAATACATGCTAATGGTAAAGATTCAAAAATAAATGATAACCTAAAGGCAGAACGTAATGTCACTACTCTGATACTCTGGGATAATCTCCATTAACATCATAGAGATCATCTTCTAATGTATCTTTTCATGCACATAGACATACACCTTATATAACAAGTACATAAGTAAGCTGAAAAAAAAACGGTGCTGTAAAAAACCATGACTCATGTTTACACATTGTAAATTATTTATTGATTTTTCCTTAGCTTACCTTTCTGCTGAATCTTTCCTTCGAGTCTCTGTCATCCCTACTCTGAGGAGAAGACATTTGTCTGAGAATCTCCTTCTTGCTCGGTGGGACTGAGTCGTTATCTTCGCTCTCTAATTTAAACTTTCTCCAATCATGTATTACTCCTTTGGGTCCTGAAATACAATTAAAAATCAATTGTTTCCCTTTTTATTTTCAAAAGGACTTCATACATTGACATTTGTGTGTCACCATGGGAATAGACTTGTCATGTTCTGAATCAGAAACAAACATCTTGTTTGGGCTAGAAATTTCAGACTACCATCCTCGTAAAAATGTTTTCTCCACATTAATCCTGTTAAATAGGTTTTGGCTAAGAATCTGTCTGAAACATCTGCATTGATGAAAATGCAAATCGTGGGCTTTGAACTATTGTCAAAATTTGGGGGTAAAGATATTAAAAATTTAGAGTGTAGAGAGGAAATTAGAATTTTAGAAAAACAGCATTTTTATTACATAACAGAGATGCTTCAGCAATAAACTAAAATTGGCACCACGCCATAACAGAGGAAACTAGGATTATTGGAGAAACAAATTAAAATATATCAAGACCCAAAATAACAATAGCATGTAAAAGAAAACCAGTGAGAGGGAGGCCTAACCTCAATAAAAATCATTATATGATCATCTAATACCTCCTAAGATTCTAAAAATCTTTTACAAATATAGAAAGGATGGGATTTGCATATTTATATCAATGGTGATCCAACTGCAATTCTGATATTCAGTTGCCCTGATAAATAATAACAGTGTTTGGAAGAAGGTCTAAATTCTTGAAAATATGCAGTTTTACATATTCTTCACGAAAGGTTAGCCATATCCATATCTTTAATATTGTGTTATATATGAGAACATATTTTCTTTTGCCACATATTTTCTAAGAATTGTTATTTATATAATTTTAATATAAATTTATTTATAGTGTGGGGGCAAAAATAGATATACAGTTGTGAGGACATGAAACAGTGTATTCTTGTATTATTATTTATTAACGCGAGGCCCAGTGCACGAATTTGTGCACAAGTGGGGTCTCTCAGCCTGGCCTGCAGGGATCGGCTGAAACTGGCAGTCCTACATCCCCCGAGGGATGTAGTAGTGTGTGAAGCGACAGGCAGCTGGAGAGGAGCCCGAGCCCGGGGTTAGTCACCATGCTGCTCCCGCTCATCCTGGCCCTGCTGTGTCTGCTGCTGCTGCTTGGTGTTGCTTCGGAGGTGGGAGAGGCTCGCATCTCTGCAGCTGCTCTCACCAGCCTTGAGCCCAGCGTCTGGCACCTGTTGGTCAGCTGAGTGGCGCTCCTGCTGTGGGAGTGCACTGACCACCAGGTGGCAGCTCCTGGGTTGAGTATCTGTCCTCGGTGGTCAGTGCATGTCATAGAAACCGGTCAAACGGTCCACCGGTTGATTAGTCGGCCAGTAGCTTAGGGTTTTATATATATAGATTATTTTCCGTATGAACAACTGTAAACCTACTTTTGCCCACCTTTGCATTCATTATATTTAGGCAATTAATGTTTTTTGTTTACTTGTGTCATCTTTGTCTTCCAGGTATGTTCTACAAATACAAAATATGAACATTTATAACATGTGTTTATCCTATATAATAAAAGGCTAATATACAAGTTGACTGAATAGCGGAACAACCGGTTGCTACAGTGCACACTGACCACCTGGGGGCAGACGCTCAATGCAGGAGCTGCCCCTTGGTGGTCAGTGCGCTCCCACAGGGGCAGGGCCGCTCAGCCAGAAGCCAGGCTCTGCAGCAGCACTAAGGGAGCGGGCCTAAGCTGTCAGTAGGACATCCCCCAAGGGCACGTGGACTGTAAGAGGGTGCAGGCCGGGCTGAGAGAACCCCCGAGTGCACAAATTTCATGCACTGGGCCTCTAGTATGTATATAAAAAAATAATTTTTCAACTTGTTTAAAAAAATGGTAGTATATTATACATACTTTCCCTTCCTTGCTTTTTTTTTTACCTCATAATATATCTCAGAGATATTTTTCACATACATACATACAGAGATGCTTCCTTTTTTAAAAAACTGGAGTAATGGTATTTCATTTTATAGGTATTAATTTACTTAAGCAGTTTCTTTTTGATGTACATTGTTGCTTCCACATTTTTTTCTGACAATCTTGTCAGGTTTTTCTGGAGAAATATTGATTTAAGAATGTTTTATCATTATCTTTACTTTTTACAGAGTAACAAATTTAAAAACTTAATTTATTTATCTTTTGGTCTATTATTGTTTACAATTGCAAAGAAAGTCTGAAAGTCCATAGTGGGGGGTATCAGGAGAGAGGATAGTGGCTCAATTTTAGTGTACATATGAGAGCTGGCAGCAAGAAATCCTCAATAACTAGTGTTTCAAATTAAAATTCTCATTCCTTAACTTCTAAGTAAAACTTTTTTTTGAAGTACTTGATCTCACATTAATGTACCCACGCAATTATTTTTAGATGATTCCATCAGACCACTCAAAGGTATAACAAATTCCATACTGAATAGTGGCAATAAGAACATTGGAGATCTTCAGGTTTAATTTTAATTTAATAATTAGTTTTCTTCCTATTGCTTTGCTTACCTGTATGTGTCGCCTGTCCTTCAAAGTCTTCTTCCAAACTTGGGTTTTTGGCTTCTTCCATTTTAAAGATTAGATTTGATATAATCTATAGGATGAGCAAAGAAGTAATGATAGATCAGAAATAAATAGATAAATACATAAATATTCCTCTACTGTCAGGTTCCATGGAGGCTAAGGATTATCTCAAGTGATAAAGTCTTTAAAATGTTTCTATCTGCTTGTAAAAGGACATTAATATCTGTATTACAGATATTTGGACCTAAGGATTTTATATAATTCGTAGTATGTCTTTTACTTTAAAAGCCTTCAGTTTTGATCTATGCACTCAGTGAACATTATTTTTTTAACATTATTTTTATTGATTTCAGAGAAGAAGGGAGAGGGAGAGAGAAATAGAAACATCCATGATGAGAGAGAATCATTGATTGGCTGCCTCCTGCACAACCCCTACCAGGGATCGAGCTCGCAACCCCGGGCATGTGCCCTGACTGGGAATAGAACTGTGACCTGCTGGTCCCCCATAGGTGGACACTCAACCACGAGCCACATCGGCCTGGCTCAGTGAACATTATTTATTATTGATTTTCTTTCTTTATTATTGTTTATTACTGAATTTGTAAAATTATATCTCAATATTTTATATAATAAAAACGTTTTAATTCATAATAATTATTACTATGAACATTTACTATGTACCAGGCATTGTTTCAATCATTTATGTGTCAAAAATCACTTAATTTTCACACAGACGTATGTGGCTGGGCTAGTTATTAATGCCACTTTACAACTGAGGAAGCTAAAGGATGGAATTTAAGTTACTTGCCATTTTTTCTCAATATAGTTTGACAAATTCAACTTCTAAATTGGCATTAAAGAATGATGGTCTAAGGTACAGTGCTATTCAAAACCTCACATCATAACATCTCTCTGTTCCAGAGCAAGTTCTGGGATGTTACCCAGTAAGCAAGTGAAAACCAGTAATTATACCTATAGATTTTGAAAAACTGTAAGATACATCACAAAATCTAACAAAAGCACATGGAGTTTATTCACAGGAAATCTCTTGTTGCGCTCATGTAGAATCTATTTATTCTTAGTTCACACTCAAATCCAACCTATTTGCTTATTTATCTTTCCATTTTCTGGAAAACTGTATTATATACATACTAACACATTCCCTAAGGGGTTCATATAGTTGTGATTTTCTTGAAGTTTTCAAGTCCTGGAAGATATATATTAACAGAAAATACTAGTACACTATTTTTTCACCCTTATTTCTTCTACCTTTTCCCTTTGCCTCTTTCAAAGTCAGTTTTAATCTATGATCCCCCTCCAAAAGTATTTTTATTGGTTTATACTTCAGCCTTGGACTTGGTCTATTTGGTGCTTTCCCAAGGAACAGAATGGTAAACAGAACTCTTTGTTTTGATTAATTTTTTTGCTTTCAGTTCTGCTCCCAATGTTTGGACTGGTCTCATAATTTTGTTTCCCTCACTACAGTCCCTTTGCATCTGGAGATACAAAACCCCAAGAGTGAGTTGATTACACTGAGGTCAAAGGTCTTTGCCAATTTAATTTTATTTACTTGAACAGAAAAGGCTTTTAAGAGAAGGCTGTCAAGGGAATACCCATTCATTCTTCAATATGTATGTAACTTTAAGTGTAATAAAGAATACTAAATTAACTTTGAATGGATTTAGTAATGAAAAAGAATAAAGGAAAATGGAAATCAGGGAAAATAGAAATAAGTAAATCTTGTTGGACAAAAGAAGCTACTTAATGACTACAATTATTTAAAAATAATTTTTGCATCTAAGAAAAATGAATATTATTGTTTTGCCTCAAAAGAACACTTCAGAGCAAAGTAATGGAAGCTTATTTGACAATTTCAATAGCTGTTTAGTCCCCAGAAAAGTAGAGACTCAAGCCAGTGTCTTTTATTTCACTATTAGATAGTTAATCTGAGGTAGTTACTATTTGCAATGAATATGCATAAGATTTTTTAAAATATAAAAATAAATTTATTTCAAATGTTGAAGAGACATAAGCCTAGCTTGCTTCCTGCCATCCTAGTTGGCAATCTAGTGGAGAAAAAAAAAAGTAATTTCATTTTACAAAAAGACTCTTGACAATTTCAAAGAAATCCCTTCACTGAAAAGATAATTCAGTTACTTGGGGAAAACATGATTCCCTGATTATATTAATATACTAGGGGCCCAGTGCACGAATTCGTCCACCTTGAAAAGAACTGTGGTCCATGAGGCTATGGTGGGTACAGGGACAGGTCTCGGCCCATCCTCCATGCCCCTGCTCGGCACCTCCTGCTGCAGCCCCTGGTCCCCTGTCTGCTGGTAGACCCACTCCTGCCGCCGCCACTCCCATGTGCTAACAGCGCCCGCCCTGCTCGCACCCACTGACAGCACGGAGTGATTAGGGCCAGCACCAGCAGCAGGTACGAGCGGCAACTGCTACCCCGATTGCCCCTCAGGAGCAGGGAGAGGGGGAGAAGCCCTCAGGGGCGATTAGGGCTAGCAGCCGCTGCTTGCACCTGCTGACAGCGCCAAGCATATATAATGCTTTTCCCTATACATACATAACTATGGTAAAGTATAAATTAGGCATAGTGAGAGATCAACAAAAATAGCTGATAATAGAATAATTATAACAGTATACTGTAATAACAGTTATGTGAGTGTTTATTTCTGGAATTTTCCATTTAATATTTTCAGATTGTTACATTTGAGGATAGATAATCAACATCTGAATTCTTAGGACTAGAACTCATTCTATAGCACTTGGCTTTGACTTCTGTAAAGAATTACCTCAATTATGTAGATGCTGGCCACTATGTCTGTGTTCTGGGTCCTGACACAGACTGCCTTTTCCTCAATTTCTCCTAGTCAAGCTTTGGTGACTCTGTATTTCTCAGGGTCCCCTTTGATCCTTTAAGAATTATTATTGGGGAAAGGAGGCTCACCTAGGATTAACTAGTTGATTTTTGGATTCTTTTCTAGTTCTTTCCTTGCTCCCGCACCCACACTTGGATGCTGCAGAAGAGCCTACAAAAATATGGGCCAAGAAGCCCCTGCATGTCAGGTAATACAAATGCCAGTTATTTCCTTGGCTAGTGTCTGGGTTGTTCTGATGTCCTAGTAATAGTTTCAATAACTATTATTTTCTGTTGAGAAATAAAAGGCATGGATGCTAGGGGAAAGAAGACTCAATAGAAGTATTCTGTTTCATTTAGTAGGCTGAGGTTTAGATAAAAGTATCTTCATTCCTTTTTTTAAAAAAATTGTAATTATGCCCTGCCGGCGTGGCTCAGTGATTGAGTGTCGACCTATGAACCAGGAGGTCTTGATTCAATTCTCAGTCAGGGCACATGCCCGGGTTGCGGGTTCAATCTCCAGTGTGGGGCATGCAGGAGGCAGCCTATCAATGATTCTTATCCTTGATGTTTCTATCTCTCTCGCCCTCTCCCTTCCTCTCTGAGATCAATAAAATATATATAAAAATTGTAATGAAAAGTTTTAGATGGTATACTAATACTAATTTCCCTAAGTACAGAGTAAAAAGATTAAACAACCAAACGTTAAGCATAACCAATGGACATAAGACACTGGGGGATAGGGGAGGCTAGGGGACTGTCAAGGGCGGGGGGAAAAAAAGGACACATATGTAATACCCTTTGTAATACTTTAAGCAATAAAAAAAAAAAATTATCCTCTACCTAAGACATGCATGGCTTCTTTCCACAGACATAAAAAATAAAGAAAACATTGAAATAGCTCTAATGTGAAGTTTTCAAAATAAGGATTTTTGTTGTGCAATTTAAAACAAATACTCTTCCTTCTCCCTTATACATGAATTCATGTGTTTCCTTTCGGAAACAGATAAGCAGCTGTTTCAGAGAAAGCGCTGTACTGAACATGACATTATTGTATCTGAACATGACTAGCCATGAATAGAAATAACTTGACTGGGATTCCAGTACTGAAGGGCTTGATTAAAATAATTTTTTAACTCAACTAGAGTGGAATTTAGCAAGTTATCTTTAAGGCCTACCTGAAACCAAGCAAGACTGCCAGGTGGGAAAATCTGTAGAAATCCCGCTTCAACTGCACTTTGATAGAAACCTAGATTCTGTCTTGATCTGTGCTCCGTAAGGTATCACACGCTCTGTGCCCACCTTTGCAGGGCTCCATGTCTACCTTTCTCTGTCTCTAACCATGCATCTCTGGGGGGCTCTGCTCTCCTGCCTTTTCCAAGGTGACTGTGAGCTAATCCGATCAACTAAGCCAGGCCAATGTTCTCACCAACGCTGACATATTAGTGTCAGATGTTTTAACCCCTGCCAGGACTGTCCTCCCAATGTCACATTGGACTCCTATAGAAAACAGTTCAGCCATTGCTTTCTTATTAAAAAATGATTAGGAGTGGGAATTTTACATCGAATAGGTCTGACAGCAGCACCATGCCTGATCATGGGAATCATCACTAGGCATGTGGAGATCTCCATTAGCTCTCAAGTCATAAATGCAGCTCTAATGAGTTTACCCAAGCCATACTTACCCCCCAAGGAGGACCTAAGCTTCTTGTGGCAGGAGCCATGCATTACAAATGCTTCCTAGGGACAGCAAAGCATAATGATGAACACACAGGGTGGGGCAAAAGTAGGTTTACAGTTGTTCGGGTGGAAAATAATACAATAATTAATAATAAATAAAATAGTAAGTAATTCCAGAATACACTCTGTTTTGCATACTCACAGATGTAAACCTACTTTTGCCCCACCCTGTATAAGCGCATAAACACTTGGGTTCAAATCTAGCTCTGCTAGTTACTGGCTGTGTTTCTGAGCAAATCACTAAAACTCTCTGTGCTTTGATTTTCTTATCTGTAAATTGGAGTAATAATAGTATCTACTTCAAAAGGCTGTGTGAGGATTAAATGATGTAAAATTATTATGTAAAATGTATAGTACTTAGTAGTAGGAACCTAACAGGTATTGAATAAAAATGATAATTAGTAAATAATTGAAAATTTGTAATAGTAAAACCA